ATATATGAAATCATGATGTCAAATACCTAAGCACATTTAATGCTAAACACGTCAAGAGCCTAAATTAATAAGCTACAGTATGTCTAAACACGTTTAACTTCTAAACCTGTCACCAAGAACGGGACAACAATGCGTGGAGTTTTGTGTTTAAATGCTCCACTCTGTTTTGCAGTGTATTTATTGTTTATAATTCCAAAAATTTACAGCATTCATTTTCGCAAAAAAAAAAAAAAAACAAATAAAACAAAAAAACAAAAACAAAAACAAAATAAAAGAGACAGCCCGGGGCTTCTATAAGTTTTACGGTTTTCTGATACGATTAATATAGTATTCCTATATTTACGCACAGTTCTAACATTTACTAATTTGTTTACATAAATTACGGTACATGTCTACCTTGTCATTGCAACTTTTATTTACTATCCTTATGATTTACGTATTATTATTATCATTATTATTATTATTATTATTATTTTATTATTATTATTATTATTATTATTATTATTATTATTATTATTATTATATTGTATGTAAAAAAAAAGCTTTTCGTTTTTATAGGCATGTGTAAGCAATGCATGACAGAGTATATACGTAAATTTGAGAAAGGAAATTGGTAATTACCGACCTACCTAAGAAAGATCATCATTAACGACGCAACTTTCGAGAGATAATAATTCCCCACTTACCTGCAAATCTAGTATCAACTGCCTTGTCAGATACTAGGTAATTCGTCAGGCCCTCAACTGCCAAAGTCATTCGTAGACATTCCTTACTCTTGTCTATGCTGCTCAAATTGCTTACTCCTTTCCTTAATTCCTCAATTTTCTCGAGCATTTTTGCGTTTTCTTCACAGGAAGAATTACCACCAGAAAACTCAATCGAACTTTCTGAATATCCTTCATTACTTGGGCTTTTTTCGTTTTCCACAAGAACTGGCACTTTATCGTTAAATTCAAGTTTCTCGTTGGTGCTGACTTTTGTTATATCTGTAGCGCCCTCAACCAAGATCAAAGTATTTCCACTAAAAATCATATAACCGATAAGAAAAAGCAGCACATTTGAAGTTCTATCTAACAATTTCATATTTGTAAGTTGACTAAATAAATCACACAGAATCAAAATGACGTCCACACGTCTATACTGCTCTGAAAATATTACGATTGATTACAATTCATGACCCTAACCATTTTTCAATTGTTCTTCTCTTAGGCGGGGTTAAACTTAGTCTAGGTAATCATTGCGGTTAGACATTGTCGGGTAGATGTTTGTTAAGCCTCAATTACTTCCCGTCAGGAAAACACTGAATTTACTCTCCACAAGAGACATAAGATCACGTGATTGATTAAAAAACATATACATCAATAATCAATGTTGTATCATGGTTCTCCGAGGCAGATTGACAGATGATCGTGTAACGCCCACATAGACTTTTGCTACAATCAACAGTTGAAAAATTCGGTTCAATGCTCATTTACACTCAGGTCGCGTCGGAAGAAGGACCGTGCGATGTTGAAGCCGGGAGCTAATAACGTACCTAGGTATGAATCCCTAAAGGATGAAAGGAACTCTAAAGGGACTGAGAAAATGATTCGATCTGGAGATGTAAATCGTCGGCTGAAATGTAATTCCCCCGTGCTGCTTTTTCTTGGACTACTCGTCTGTGTGCTTATTCTTATTTTACATTTTAATATCCCTACCGACGAGAACATAAGTGCTGAAACTAAATCTGTGAAACAGTCAAAATCTAAATCAAAAAACAGTAAGCCACATGTTGTGTTTCTTCTTGTTGACGACTTCGGTTTCAACGATATCGGGTACCATGGATCAAAGATTAAAACTCCGGTCATGGACACACTTGCGAAAGATGGAGTTATTTTGGAAAATTATTACGTTCAGCCCAAGTGCTCTCCGACAAGAAGTCAGTTATTATCAGGGCGTTATCAAATTCACACGGGTCTCCAGCATGGTACCATAAAACATAACGTACCAAACTGCCTTCCTCTGGATGAAGAAACGCTTCCACAGAGCTTAAAAAAACTTGGCTATGCAACACATATGGTTGGCAAATGGCACCTGGGATTCTATAGAAAAGCGTGCCTACCTACCAGGCGGGGTTTCGATTCGTTCTTTGGATTATTACTCGGAAGCGGGGGCCACTGGTCACACGAAAGGGATGGTGGATATGATTTCAGAGTAAATGAAAATGTTGCTAAGCAGTACAAAAATAAATACTCAACGATATTGTTTGCTAAGCAAGCACGCAAAATCATTATGTCCCACAAGCCGGAAAAGCCGCTTTTTCTGTACGTGCCATTCCAAGCTGTACACACTCCTCTTGAGGTCCCATCTCGCTACAGTTTACCATACAAGAATGTATTTCAGGACAGAACACGACAAATTTACGCCGGAATGGTTACTTGTGTAGACGAGGCCATTGGTAATATCACGAACGCTTTGAAAGAAAAGGGCATATATCAGAATTCTGTAATCATCTTGTCAACAGATAACGGCGCACAGGTACACAGTAGTGGGGGAAGTAATTGGCCACTGCGCGGAATGAAGGGTACACTATGGGAAGGGGGAATTCGTGCAGTCGGATTCGTGCACAGTCGCTTGATTCCAAAGTCTGTACGCGGAACAGTAAACAGACATTTAGCTCACGTTAGCGACTGGTTCCCGACTATCGTCGAGGGCATTGCTAAAGGAAAATACAGAGGTGCAAAGCCTCTTGACGGTTATAATATTTGGGAAAGCATCAAGCAAAATAAACCCTCTCCAAGGAAAGAAATTCTCCATAATATAGACTCACTTCGGGCACCAATTCCACCCACAGGACGTTGGAACAAACGGAGCATCCAAAAGATATTTGATATAAGCCAACGTGCAGCAATAAGATCAGGCCACTGGAAACTAATTACAGGGACCAACAATAGATATGGCTGGTACGCCCCACCAGGCGCTCATCAAAAATCTGTCATTCCTGTACGCAACCCCGGTAAGGTACTCTGGTTATTCAACATCACAGCAGATCCTTACGAGAAAAGGGACCTCTCAACTAAACACCCAGACGTGGTTATAAAATTGTTAACAAAGCTGGCTAAGTATAACAAAACGGCAGTGCACGTTAAATATCCGCCCCCTGATCCAGCTGCAGACCCAAGTAAACATGGGGGTATATGGGAACCTTGGGCTAAACGGCCCCCAAAGGGCTTTAAGGGTATCTACGGTCCAGTGTGTTCAAAAGGGCACTCGGCTTCATGTATTCAATCATTGAAAAACATTGATGATCACTATAATCAGGTAGAGAAAGAAAAGGAAATTGTTAAGCCTCAACCACTCAAATTAAAGATTAAAGAAACTCTACAGAAGGTAAATCTTCCAAATAAAAAACATTCATCAAAACCAAAACACTTACCGAAGAGAAAACCTCACAGGAAAAATATGCCTAAGCGTAAAAACATTAGGAGAAAGAAAACTATAACAAAAACTAAGTAAAAAATAATCTTACCCGATGAGATAAAAAACGTGAATGCATATATATTATATTACAATATATGTACTGTATATACTGTAGTATAAAGGGCATCTACAGTATATATACTGTCTCTTATACACATCTAGATGTGTATAAGAGACAGAAACTGGAATATACTACCCAATCTAAAAACCTAGCAGGTTTATAAAATACTGGATGAAAAACATAGCGGGTAATGAAATGCCCAATTTACATGTAAAATTTAGATGTTAGGAATTAATTATCATACAGTGTCTTTAATATTTGAGTACAGTAAATTAATAGCAATTAGGGACCACCTCTTAAAAGTACCAACTACAAATCTTTAATCTTTCAACATAGCTAACATTTAAAAGTTATCCCTAAGACACTCTAAATGCTTTAAGGTCAAAATAGTAGTCTTGAATTGGAGGGCGAACTTTATATAATGTGTTCGAATAGGAAAAAGATGTTTTAGCGTATCGAGCAAAGTCCTTCAACGAAAAGTTCCTTTATTAAATTGTATGAAAAAAGTTTCTGGATAGGAGCTATGGTTAAGCAAGAAAAGCTTACCGGTACAGGTCGCAGCTAGGAAATAATAGTAAATAATGTTAAAATTATGTTCGCTGCGTAGCAACGTAAACACAATATAAACAAATGGATAAATAATAACAATAATAACAGTGCTAAAATAGGACTACATCTACTTTAGCGCACTGTTGTTATTACTATTTATCAATTTGTTTATAATGTGTTCACGATGCTACGTATATATATATATATATATATATATATATATATATATATATATATCTTTACCTTTTTGATTTACAGTGCTACTAAGAAACTCTGATTTAACATGTTTAATAACATCATACATGCATAAACAATTATGTCTATAATAATATAAAACATTTTAATAAATACTTTCTTTTTAGATATCCTAGGAAAGTAAGGTAACCCGTGTTGTGCGTTTTATGTTCGTTGATAATAAAATGTCTTAACATAGGCCCCACCTCCAGTTTGTTTATGTTTAATCATTTATATTGAAACAAGTGTTAAAGCTGGTTGATGGAGATTGGTGAAAGATGTAAGAGTAATTAAAAAATTACTATCCCGTAGTGGGTTTATAAGGTTTATGCTAAATATGAATCACATCCCATTTCGAACTCTAAGCGAAAATATTAAATATGCAAGGGAAGGAGAGATATGTACTCCATATGCCTGACAGCTGTAAGTGATTCGGCTTAACCCCTACGACACATGCATCTATGTGGAAGCATTCATTTAGCGATAATTCATCGTCTTCAGGGAATCAACTTCCCAAGCCTTGTCAGAAATTTTCGTCCACCTTAATTAGTTAACAGGTAGAATATTTCTGTAACTTTCTCCAGTAAATGAGCCAATGGAATGGGCATCACAGCGATTCCGAGGAAGACGAATTGATTGCGACAATGTGACGACGACGACGACGATGATGATGATGATGATAATAATTATGATGATGATAACAACAATATAGTGGTGTGTTTGATGGTGGCAGCGTCAATGGATGCTGACAACGACGGCTACGGCCGTGATGACGGACGGATGATGATCATGATTATGGGCGTCGATCGGTGGGGGACAGGGGGAACGCTCTTCCCCACTTTTCAAATTAGGGGAGCGTCAATCACTTTACCCCTCCCCACACTTTTGACCAGTCTTCTATAGTTAAAACCCCACTTTTCAAAACGAGTGAAAAGAACAACAATTACGAATGACTTGGTTCGCTAGTATTTGGGGACGTACTGAGTATTCGATACGATAACACGTCAGGTAGAGCAAAGCATCATTCCTATGACATGAATTTTGTCTGTTAACTAGTAGGCCTACTCTTTGCCAAGTGCGGTTCGTATCTACGGACCAAAACCGAGTAAACAACGCAATTGTTTGTAGATTTCGTAGCATCTCAGTAACCACTCTATCGACTTTACGTGTGCAACGGTTCAGATAAACGGTTTTATTGTGAAAAAAATGTAGGCCTACTGTACGTTGTTAAAATTGGAAGCGTGTAAACCTATTAGGCTTAGGCCAATATTTTTACTAACTCAAAAGACGTGCACAATTTCTACTAAACGATTTATTCCTTTTTTATATTATTAAGACCCGTATATACTAGTGTATAATATTGTCTGCACACCCCGAGATTCCTGTTTTTCCTAATTTCAAAAAATTATAATTAGTCAATTATATAGCCGTTATTAAACAATAAGTATACAGCCTTTTACATGGATTACATTACTATATCTATATTAAATTCGGTCTTTTGTCTGATTATTTTTTGTATATCATGAAATTAAGCGTTTTGAGACGATCTGCCGATTTTATGATTATGGCGCTATATATATAAACAAAACCTACATTACAGAACAGAACCAGAAAATAAGATCTTGAGCAGTTTAATCCTCATGACATCGGCAAAGGAAATTATGTAAGCCTACTTTCATTCTTTTAAGATCTGTCAGCCGCTTTTAATACCATTTTTAATCCTATCTAACTTTCCAATTTTGCAGATTCGGAGTCTAGAAAGGAATACAAGTTGGGCAAGCAGTATCTAGCTTGAGTTGTACCCCCAAGCCCGAGTGCGTGCTTCAACATCTGCCCTCGTGCTTCTACTATGAAATCCCAACCCTAAACTCGGGAAAGATGAAAGAGTCATGTCTCATTCGCATTTTCCGGCCACCTTTGTCGCGTGCCAATAACTACGTCAAACACTGTTTTACTTCTTCCATCTTTCCCGGATTCGGGTTTAAGGCCTACATATTTTACTGAAAAAATATAGTGGGATACCAGATCAAGCACTGATATAAATGGACATTAATTTGGGCTAAGCCTTGTACTTAGGATATTGTTGTCCTGTGTAAACGTACGTAACACGTGCGCTTAATGGAAAACACGTATTCCAAGCCCCGCTGTGACTGGTCTGTTGTTAAGTTTGATTGACATTCTGGAAAGTTCAATTGTAGGAGAACTCTATTATTAGCAATTTTCCTCATTATTTAACTTCTCAGATAAGCAGTGCACAAACCAAAGGTGGTAAACAGTAATTACAACACATAGTGATTTATGCACAAATCATCAAACAGTGGTGAAATAGGATTTGATGTCAGAGCGTAGAGCGTGTAAACATCATCTACCGTACTACAAATCACCGTATACTGTATGACAAAGGTTAGGCCTACTTATCGTACGTACATCGCTTTTTAATAATTACTACGGAGCTGTGGTTAGGGACTCACTTTCCAATCCAGGGGCCTTGGGTATATAATATCCTGCAAACACCATTCATTTTTCTCACGACTACATATGACCCGACTAAGCATAAAATTATAAAGGTTTCTCTTTACATTATGTCATTTTCATGAAATCGTGAAAAACATTGCCTCAATTTGGATTCGAAATCGGAAATTGAATTGATTCTGTGTTCTGTTTCTACATGAATAAATAATTAAAGTAGTTCAATTTGTTAGCAACTGGAACCAAATGAATCATTAATGTAGTTAAGAGTTTTAGCAACTGGAACCAAATTTAAACAAGTCGTTTATATTAAAAGAATTGAATATTTATTTCCTTTGAATTTTATTCCGTGTTCGGTTGTTAAAATGACTGAATCAATAATGCAGTTAAGTTTTTGAGAAACTGGAACAAAACAATCATTAATGTAAAAATGTTTTAAGCAACTGGAACCAAATAGGCCAATTGTATGTATTTCATTATGCATTACAACAATGTCGAAACTTGTACAAATCACTAACGGCTAAAATGTAGTATTGCAGGTCCCAATATAGCTACGTTCATCTGATGAAACCAACAAATTTTAGTCTAAAAAAGCTAAGTGGGCACCCGTATCGCAGTGGGGAATAGAGGATGCCCCTTGGAAAAAATACTGATATGAAAAAAATGTTAAAAAACCGAAATTTTCCAATAAAATCAGTAACTTGTTTGGTTCGGTCAATGACGATTTATCTATTTTTGTGTAACAGTTGTCTAAGACAAAAAAAATCATAATTGATAAATTTAGGTTAATGGACGTTAGTTAATTATGCCTTTACTGTGTCCTTAAAATTTAATATTAGTTACATTTGTGTCCAATATGATAGCATATGAAAGTACTAAAACGCGCGAGCCATGGCTTTTCTTGGATAAACTCATCCAAAAATCTCACGGATTTAAAATCTTTAAAGTTAAAACTATGAAAACATTCCTGCCATTGTTAAAAAATGAAATAATCTTTAAAAATCTACACTGGCAAAAAACAACGCGTTATTTTTAAGTTACTTTTGTTGATTTTCAAGTCACTTAGCTTTCATAAACCTGTCTATTTACTGAATAACTTTACCCACCATATTTCTCTTTGCCATCTTTGTTCTTTATCTAATAAATCTATTGACAGTTCCGTCTCGTAAAGGTAAAACAAAAGCTTATGGTTAATGTGCCTTTTCTGTTGAAACCCCTTACCTGGAATTCCTTGCCGCTTTCAGTTCGCGATTCGTCTAATTTGCTTTCTTTTAAGAAAAATCCTAAAACCTATTTATTACAAGAAAGTTAACTTGTTTTGTTTCTTCACTTTGTGCCTTTGATAAAGTTTCAATTGCGCTATATAAATATTTATTATTATTATTATTATAATCATGTTAAAATGAACCGCTATATGAATGTGTGAATACTCATTGATGACAATTTGCTGTTTAAACTTGTTTTGTTAAATTTTTTCCACGAGTGGTCTTCTGTATTAGAGGTCATTTTGTGGTCACGGAATTAAAGGATGAGCATAGTGTTTAAGATACATGATCAGCTGGTACTTTGAAAAACTTGTTTCTTACTATGATGGTCTCGGAATTAGAAGGGTCTCGATTTGGAGGATGAACTGTATTTTAATGCGTAAATACGGCATAGCAATGTAGTTCACGAAGCACTCACGTAAAACAGATACAGCAATTAATGACAAAAATTGTAAACCATTTAGGTTCTATATCGTATACATAAAAAAGGGACCTAAATATAATTTTATCTATACATATACCGGTATCATTAATTATTTAAACGTCATTGAAATACTGAAATGATTATTATCAATACCAATATGCAAAAATGATTCGGTAGGGTTAGGACTATTACAGTTTAAATGTTTGTACTTCATCTATCGGTGCATATATTTTCTATTTTTCGAATGCTTGAGCATTTTGGCATAAATTATGATACTGAAAACCTTGTTCATTTTCCGACTGGGATTACTGTAGTTGAAAATTTGATATGGGCCTAATGATTGCATGCATCAGCATCCGCAACGTCATTGGCGATTAGATTTCCAATGGGACCCATATACACAGAAAGGATATAGGCCTAAAATCTTAAGTGCAACCATGTTATGAATAATGAATGTAAGGGAATCTCTAAATCAAGAACTGTATTCAATCTCAATGTTAAACTGTTTTACTTGGATTCAATCCAACGGAATAGGGAAGGGAGAAATTATCGATAATATATCAGATGCATCAAAGATGGACGACGGCAGTCACGATTGAAAAAAATGGTGCAGATCCATGCAGAGAAATAATTCTCATAATTATTTTTTTGTAATTAAAGTAATCGATCACGTGATAGGTATGATCGTTAATAAATTCAGAGTTCACAAAGTCAAATCCCAATGTGTCTCAATACAACACCCCTCTCTTTTAGCAGATTATAATTGTTTACAAGATCATATTCGCCCGTGTTTTAAACAGGTAGTTTACCTGGTTTGATTGGAAACAGGGGAACGCTACTTAAGACAAACGTCCTGTACAAATCCAGTAGTTAAGCCGCATAAAATTTTATGTAGGTTAAATCATTATTGTTGTTAGTTTTACATCTTCGACGTTAAAAAAGAAAATGTGTTAATAATTCCGAAGATTGACATTTTTTTTTTCATCAGAAGGCTTTTGTAACTGCAAAAGCGATCTTCTGCACCTCAAGAATCTCTACGTGCTTCAGAAGAAAAATATAATTGGCGTGTCATCCCTGATATGACGTGATTCAAAAATATGGCATCTCACCAGAGAAAGTACAGAAAATTTGAAGTGGCACAGGCGACATGAAAATGCATGTTGCATATTTGTATTTAGACGCGATAGCATGTTTATAATATGCCGCCCGTCCTCAGGGGCCAGTCAAAATTTCCAATCTCAAAATATTTGTAATTGGACAAAAAAGGAAAATTTTGAATTTCTTAAATTTTTAATTTTAATGCAAAAATGAGTGGAAGAGTATGAAGGATATGTTCAACAGTGGACTGATGTATCCAGAAGGTCAACTATGATCTAACTCATCATCACAACAAATACGTCTGTAGGCCTCGCTACTCATTATAATGTTGTTTATTCGTGCGATATGAATAACTTGCTAGCCTACATTTTCTTTATATATTTGTATGTTTATTGAGATGGGATTAAATCGAATAAAATCTATCATATATGCAAGGTTAAATTGATATATGATGACAAACGGAGGTCAGGAATTATGCAGGATTCACTATTGGATTTTTAAATGCTAAGTGTGTCATAAAAATGAATTATTGAATATTTAAAAACTGGGGGAGTTAATGCAAAAAGGGGCATAACCACCCTTTCCCGAGTTTTTTAACCAACACCCTTTTTGTGTCGTAGAAAAACCAGTTGTGCAACATATACACATTTTTTTCCCTCCGGAGCCTGGCTTTAATGCTTTATTATAGATTATATTTGTTTTTATTTGAGTCTTAGTAATAGCCATACTACAGTAGAGATCATGGGCAGTGCACTATTTGCCTGCCAATCAACAGCGTCTATGTTCAAGATTTTACATAGAAGATGACATTGCTTATGGGGATGCCGCAAGCTACGTTGTATGTGGGGCCTATGTTCTAGACTAATCATACCACAATGGTCTATTCATGTCCTGTTAACAAGGCAGCGGGCACTGCGCCACCCATTGAATTTTCGGTCCATTATCTACCGTAAGAATTCATATTCTTATTCTTACACTCTTTGCAATTGGTACTGTATAAATATGTATTTCCACCATTTATGCAAATCCAGGATTGTTAACTAAAGTATAATATAAGTAGGGGCCTTTTGGACACCGATTTTTGTTCTGCTTCTGAACTTTGAGGTTGGAGGTTTCATCCATCCCTGTAGATTTCGCTTATGTCCTAGGCAAGGCTGCACTTTACCTATAATTGTCTCTGCACCCAGGAATGCAAGTGGAGATTGAAACAAAATGTGCTGATTAAAAATGCAACATTAGGGAATTCCCCCTAGGGAGATAAGCATGTGTTCCATATGTGCTTGATTCAATGACCAGGGGTTTATATAATATGAAGCGCTTAGAGGCCTAGGCCTAGGCCTAGTTGGCACGAAGCAATATAGTTCTAGCATATTATTTAAATGTTATTATATTAAGTATTGTTACTCTCTTAATGTACACTCTGAGTGCAGACAATCATTGAAATCACAACAGCACTTTATTGGGACAATTTGATGTTATATTCCCCCAAGATGGTGCTTAGTCACAAACAATATTAACAATAATATTGAGTCATTCTGAGTCAATGTCACAGCGCCAACAAACATTGCTTGCACTGGATTTTGGCACTAAATAAATTTTTAAAAGATTAAATGATTATTGTCAATCATTATACTGAAGCCTATGTTAATCACAGCAAGCTCAATCTATATCGTTGGGCTCCCATCATTTGTACTTCCATCTTTTGGGCTACCAACTATTGGAATACCATCACTTGAGCTTATTGCCATTTCTTGAGATACTAGCGCTTGACTACTATCTCTAGGGCTACCATGTCTCTTGGATTATGATGGATTTTGGCACTAAAAAGATTGATTGATTATTGTCCATCCTAAAGCCATCAGTAATCAGTGAGGCTTCAAGCAGATTGAGGCACTAGTGTAATGTTTTATCTTGTCTCTTAAACTGGATAATTGCTATCTCTAGGACTGTGAGGCCACAAACAGGCAGATGTCTCATGGTCAATTCCATCTGTATTTCCATCTAAACACTGTGAGGTGGGCTGCCGTTTCTATGACTTCTTCTGATGTTGCAAGTACATCTCAGTCTCTAACTGAGCCATCATATCTTTAATCATTTTTATAGCATATGAATCCCCCTGCCTTTCTGCTAATTTAAGTGCATGCTGGAAGTTATCCCTCGCTGAATCAAAAACCCCTGAAAAAAAAAAAAAACAAAATAGCCGGCGATAAATCAGGTGCACTGAATCATAAATTAGCTAATTACTGATGGAGTGCTATTAAGGATGTTTACATTTCACTACATCAACAGATGAATGGTCCACTGATTAATCTCAGATAAGAAAGTATCTCAACACGATGTCATGCACTTCAATATTTATAATATGTATTATACTGTCTTATTTCCAATAACCTGTCAACTACCACTGGGAGACTTTCAGAGGTCTAGCATTTCGCTCTACATACTTACCATCATGGATTAAATCAACGATGAAAATAAATTACTAACGAGTACAAATAATTTAAAACAGAAAAAACACAAAATGTTACATTAAAGTCTTAAAAAGCTATTTTAATGTTTACATACTAGTAAATAGTAATCTCAAAAATTAGCAAGATCGTATCTGTTGTCTACTGCTGCTACAGCAAAGGTCTGGCTATATTCGTAACTAGCCAGCTGCTCAGGCTAGGCCGCTGGAAGTCCCCCAGTGAGTTGCGAGACGTTGGCGGAGCTGTTTCCAAATAAATCCCATGAAATGGTCTATATACTATCAGATTGTTTTGTCTGAAAACTCTGGTTCTATTTTATTTTAATAGCATTTATCAATTTTTTATCTCACCGAGATGCAACCATTGTTTCCCCCAGCATTGTTATTTTCCTTTCAATTTATATATACACATATAAAATATTTATGTCTGTGATTTTACATTTCACTTACTCATATACATTTGACATGAAGCTAAATTACAGAGTGCTGTTGCCAAGTCTGGGTGTGACATACACTTGGCCTCTTCTACTGCTTTCACAAGGCATTCGAGGGCTTCTTTGTACTTCTTCTGACTGTGGTACAGAGTGCCAAGGTCATTAAGTAAAACAACAATCTGAAAAGACAAGGGTAGTAACAGTGGGTGTGGGAGTTTTAAAGACCGCAGACATGTGGAATCAACAGATAATTCGATTTGTGAATCAATTAAACTATGATTAAACAGAGCAGTTCATTACTATAAAGAATTATAATTCAGGATTTCTGGTCAGGATAGCTAATTTTGATACAGACTTCTGAGTTAGAGTGATTGATTGATTGATTGATTGAATGATTGATTCACTCACCCAGTGATTGATAGATTCATGCCAAACCAAAACTTCGTTGTTCATTTTCTAAACTGGGAGTGAATGCATTTTTTATACCCTAAATTTTCTCAGTTATGGCAGCTACACGTACCATGTACATGTGCTCTGGTGATCACGTTCAGCAAAGGCTTTAATACAGATATTAACTTCATCCTAATGTCTGAATTTCTAACATAAATAAAATATATTCTACTGTATATCAATTTTGACTTAATTCAAAATTATTGCTGTGTTCTTACACTATTATTTTTTGTTACTATTTATCTCCTATTAGATATAAATAATATATATTGATTTAGAAATAGTATAATTTAAAAAAAATTGTTGTCTCATTTTTTGTCCTTGTGTGAAGCTGCAAACATCCTCCATTTCCAGCATGGGCTGGGCCAATAGGGAGGCAAACCAGACAGTTACACTGTTTTACAGCCCACATGGGGCTCCAGGCATATACGAAACAATCTACACCTAGTCCCACAATATACATACTAATAAGAAAAATAGGCTAGCAATAGGAATTTTATAATCTGCCCGACTCCGCAGAATTATTGGCTAAGTGGCTTGGAGTCATATAATCGTCACACTAAAATTAGGTTTCCAAGATAAAGCAAGAAAAACCTGTTGATAATAATAAAAATTAATCAACTGTATATTAACAGAAATTTAGTGTAATATATGACAAATTCAATCAACCTAATGATGAATAATTTACAATGCAATATTTTGTACAGTTTTGTACTGTTGAACCATAATCCTACGTCACAAAATATTCACTAACCTGAGGGTGCTTAATTTCATTTGTTGAGAGATCATTCTGACAGATGTCAATGGCCTTCAGATAAGCATCTTCTGCTTCTTTGTATCGTTTTTGTTTGCTTAATAATTTTGCATAGTTTTCCAAACTCATTCCTAGCAGTGCTTGGATATCAGACTTCTCCTCCTTTAGGGAACTATCACCTTCTTGGAAATCATTCAAGTTATCAGGTTTGTGCATTTTATTCTCTAATGCAGTAATGCACCAGTCATAGCCACTCTCAGCTTCTTCACACCTACAAGACAGAATATAAACCTTGTTCAGTTTTAGACAGATTTTTTCGAAATATAAAAGACATATCAGCTGAGGTTGTGAAATATGTAAGAAACTAAAAACTAGATGAGAATATTAATTACTCATTCAAATGTATAAAAATAAATTATCAACATCCAACTTGACACTATTGATACAATTAAATTTCTACTGTTTTAAACATTTTTTAAATACAAAATTCTTAGATTTACCAAACAACAATACTCCACCTAAGGAATGCAACTCTAAGGGAAGATAATATGAAGAAGAAAAAGAAATTTATGTTAAAGATTTTAAGATCTTGATCTTGAAAATTACTATTAACACTGTGTGAGGCAAAGTGAACAGGATCAATTATTTTTAAATTTGTTAATTGTTTAGGAAGACTCAAGGAGTGTTAATTGAAAGCTGATTATTTACTTAATATGCAAAGAAAATTAAATATTGAATTTTAGTTTTCAGGGTTTTAGCAGAACACAATATGTGGCAAAGACAAGCCAAACCAGTCACTCGTCGCAAAAATCAATTTTGAGTTATTAAAACAGTGTTGGAGAGTAAAATAATAGCTATAAAATGGTAAAAAAATCATTCAAATCGGACATTTCCTTATGAAGTTACAAGCGTTTAACCACACAGCTGTTTAAAGAACAATATATGAGAAATCAGCCTACAAAGTTTTTTTAAAGTTTTTAGGCATTTCTCATGCAGAAACTATCTTTAAATCCTTAAAAAGTGTTGTTTTAACATTGAAAATGGGGAAAATAACAGCATAGAATGATGTGTAGATATATAAAGGTTAGTTTAATGAAATAAAATAGATTTTTAAAAATTTGACATTCCAGCATGTTTTGGCCATTTTCTCTGAAATACGATTTGCGACGAGTGATTGGTTTGGCTTTTCTTTGCCACAAATGTTTATTGAAGAGATCAATCTTATATATTTTTTTGTGTACAATATTGATTTATATACTAGTCACAATAACTGTGGATTGCCAATAGCAATTACACCATATAACCTTTAATTAGCACACCATAACACAGTTCTTTTTATTTACTTCATACACATATGTTCAGCGACTGGCCAATACAGGATAGCTTTTTATAAATATACATTTTTAAATACATATAAAAACAATACTTTTAAATACAAACTTTTACATTAAGTTATACAAGACAGGATCTGAATTGGTCAGTACGGAACACCAGCATTTTTTTCTGAATAGTGTGAATTCCCATTTATGCACAGAACCATTATGTACCTGGGACCAATGGCTTAACGTCGCATCTAAATAACTAGATAATTAGGCCGTGGAAGATCCATGATTGCACTAAACTGTTTTCCCCAAGGACACAGCGATGATGGGCATTGGCACATTACCAAAGCAATTTTTTTTCACTGTACCACCACTAATTAAGTTTTTACTGATTTTGTTATTGAGCACCAATTTTTGGTGGTGATGTTTGCGCTTTAAAAATCATTATTATTATTATTATTATTATTATTACGGTTGTGCCTCTGTTATAAAAGAGAAGCAATAAAGTTCACTTACTTAGTTACTAGCACTTAACTATTTTTGTTATATTATTATTATAACTACTATTTAAACTGCTTACTTTAGCAAGGAGAAATTAATATAAGATTTAGTTTAAGATATCAGCTTTAAAATAAAAAATAAAATAGAATGTCACTGTAGGTTTTTTTTTAAATTATATTTATTATAGTTATCCAGATTCAAAATCAGGATACACATTTTCTAAATTTAATAAGTTCTATGCTCAAGTTAATACAGTAAATTGTCAGTAGGGTTAACTTCAAAATTATTTGTTGATTTTTTTTTTGTCAATTTCAAGAACCGCAATAATTTTTAGGTTTATGTATGCAGTAAAGTCTGTATATTAACAACAAATGAACGGTTTTGTTCTGTATCTGCTTGAATTTGAAAGTTGAATATGAGCAATTCAATGCTATATAATTCAATTTCAGACTTTTCAGATTTTATCTCAGATATGTAACTTACATTCAAACCATTTGTTTTTCTAGCTTTTCTTGGACAACGGGTTAGGGTTTTTGTGAGACTGAATATTTTGGCCACTAATATACCATAGTAATTGCAAGGTCCTAAATGGTATACAAGAGGAACAATTAATTACCTGTAACGCATACCATTTTTAGCTCAAGTCAAAGGATGCTATGCAGTAAAGGGCAAAAGGGTAAACCATGCTAAGTTCATTTAAAGACACTTTTGCAGTTGAGCTAAAAAGCTTGACAAATCAAATCCAATATCTGAATTTTTTACTTTTGTCTATTTAAAACGTAATTTACTAGCTTTCTAGTGAATATTAAAAGGATAAAAATATTTTCTGTGCAAATCAATAAGGTATTCTTGAAAATGATCAAATAGATTGAAACAATTGAATCTCACAATGTATCAGCATGTAGATTCTGTGTGACTTTTTGAAGTTCCGTTTTATGCATTTTGTCTACAGTAGCAAATTTAGTGTCAAATACACTATATGCCTATACTGTATATTAGCATGATGATGTCATATTACAACCAAATATGAGCTTATCATAGTTATTTATCACATAGAATTTAGAGAGCGTGAACAGAGCTTAAATTCCCTGCCCCCCTCCACTTCCAAATAAATAAAAATTGAGAAAAAAGAAAATTCTACTCAAATTTTGAGTTTAAGAGGGCCATTTTTCCGGCCATCTAGAAGTGCCATAATCATAAATTTTAATACCTCAGCCCAAACCATGGTGGGCCTGAGGTAGTGTAGACCCTCCATCTGTAATAGTCCCTCTCTGGGCCCCTCTATTTCAAATTCCTGGATCTATGTATTTGATTTGCATTTTTTGATGAGAAAAGATACAAAGATCTATAAATACAAATATCCTAAAACAATATCATTTAGGTACAGTATAAGCAATACAAAACAGATACAGTACTGTAAGAACAGTGGAATATCCATTGGAATCTTTAGATAATAAAAACTCATCTTAAAAAATCCTTCAGTTTACGAAATGATTTAATAACCTTTTCCTCAATCTAAAATTTTCTTAATGCTACCTCAGATATGATTGGTAGATTTCTAATGAATTTTAATAAACAAACCAAATTATCTAATTTAAAGGTAACTGATTTGAACTTGAATTTGGATTGGAAGGATGCCAAGTGATATAATGACAATTTAATTTATTAGATTAGATTTTGATCCTTGTATAATTATGCTATTAATCTCATAATTGATTACTTTAAAAATTGTTGACATTATTTGGTGCAAGAAAATTGAATTTATACTGTTTTGTGATGAGCAAAAAAAACCTTAACAATCTTGTAAATTCCTTCAGTACTGTAAACAGGGTTTGTAAGTTTTAAACAAATTTCCAGGACAATTCCAGGACATTCCAGGTCAAATTGTTCAAATTTCAAGGACACATTATATCGCTTAACAGTAAAAGTCATATTGTTATAGTGACACTGATCACTTACAACGTAAATAACTTCGCTTGCGCTTTTAAACTGCATAAACAGTCACGTCCAGTGGTCAGATAATTTGAAAAATAATCATTACGTTAAATTTAAATTTATTATTTTAAAGTACTGCAAGAATCTTTATTTTTAAGAATAATTTTTAAAAATTCCAAAAGAAACTTGTCTAAACAGATGCGTCATATAGGCCCTCCAACATGGCGTCAGTGGCCTCACTAAAACCAGCCAATGAGCAATTCAGGCTATTATAGTAGAGATCAGTGGTCAACAAGTGTGTTTGTGGAACAAATGCGTATTCCTGGCATGTTCTGAATGTTCAGTTGTCAAGTTTGACAAATACTATGGAATGGTCCATTTGAAGATGATGTTTCTAATGCCACTTAACATATCTTTTAACTGGCATTGGAAATAACACGTCTCAATATAATTGATATAAATAACATTATTCAATCCCACTCAAATTTCTTCATATCGACCTTTAAATAGGCTGGTATTCAATTTGTGTATGTTTGTGTTAGAAAATCTTTAAAATCAGCAAAAAAAAAGAATTGTTTCAATTTGTGTCACATTGGAAGTTGATAACATTTCAGTTTAATCCTTTTTTAAAAATGATCTATTTAATGAGCAATTTAATGGTATATTTGAATGTTTGTGTTTTTTATATTTATTTTTCATGCATGTATACATCTGTACACCTACTGTACATCCAAAAGGTGCTTGAATCACATTCCTTTTAAGATTCATTTTACTTTTGTTGCATATAATTTGATCAGGAAACTTGCATCCCTAAAATCGAATGTAAAATAAGTCTGTACAAGGGTCCTTCAGAGTAAATAACTCAACAACAAAACTGAACAAAACTGAAACTGCACTCTTTTTACTAGAACAATAGCACTGTTCATAATTAGCTACCTTTGATCAACATGTAATTAATTGTTGAATGCTTACATTTTTGATGACTGTATTTTGCTTTCAATACAGTACCACATTCAGTATAACGTCCAACTATCAAAGGAAAGGTAACTTAAAAGCTTTTTAATTATGTAATCAGTTTGCCGTAACCCTTTCATTTCCTATAATAAAGTAATTCTGATCGAATCACCTCTTAGGAGACCATGACATATGTTATACTTAACGAGGCTAGTGCAGGTACAGTATGGTATTTTATAGATATGAGTTTAACCTCTTGATCATGGGTAATCTAACTGGTCAATCAGCTAAAAACAGAATAAATGCAGAACAATTTTTAAAGAATTTTTCTTTGAAACACATACCGTATTTATTCGAATAAACGCCCTGCTTTGGATAAACGCCCAACTCAAGAGAGTCATATGGAATAGTAGAGCCTAGTTAGGATTAATGAGTCCTTTGGATCATGCAATAACACATTTTGACGGTACTCATGTGTGGTAGTTATACATTACTGTGAAACTAAAAACCAAAAGGTCTACTGATTAACCTCAGATAAGATAGTATAACACATACTCCAAGTATCGAAATGCACGCCATCGTGTCGGGATTCAATATTTCGACATTAATTATGTCATCATCAGTGAAACTAAGGGGTGTTTATTTGAGTATACGTATTTATTTTATACACAAAAAATAAACGCCTCCCTTGAATAAATGCCATGGGCGTTTATTCAAATAAATACGGTATTCGTGGGTTTGTACTTCCTGTTGGTTACAGACTTCGATTTAGTGGTGAGATTGTAAAAAAGGCATTGTCTTTTTGACCACATATTGCAAGCGTACACCATTAAAAATGTATTGTCCCATGCTAAATCCCAAAAAAATCATTAAAATATTTTTTGAAATAACTTTCCCATTTTAAAGTAACATAAAAGTTGAACATAGAAATAGTGTATTTAAAAAATGTCTACACATCAGTTTACAGTGAAAAATGATAGAAACATTTCCAGTCGCTAGAAGTGTTTCATTATTTTTATTATAATTTTTTGGTTTAAAAATCAGGGTACACATTTTTTTTAATTCAATAATTTTTATGCACAAGTTAATAATTTGTATGCTATTGCAATATGAGCAAGTTTATTTCAAAATAATTTTTTATGATTTTTTGACATTGGCAAGTGACAATACGTCTTTAAATTGAGAAGAATACAGCAGCAGCTGAAGCAATCCATATCATCAATTTAGATTGACAATGATGAATGTCTTTTTTATGTAATAATATCAGGAGATGAGTGTAAAACTTAGCAAAGCATGGAAGGCTATAAGCTCATGACCTACTGAAGAATGGATTCACATATGAGATTTAATCAATTCTAAATTTCAAAGTTGTGGTGGAGGCTAAAGCTTTGTCACTATCAAATTTTATGTGACAAAAAAATGTGATGTGCCCATATACGGGGTATGATGACATCATATCACATATTATCAAATTGTAGCAAAAACTATCAAATTTTCTTTGACAAAAAACTGTTATATGCCTATATATAGTCATGATGTGGCTATATATGGTCATGAAATATAAAATTTGATAGTCTGGACAGGGCTTTAAGCTCTGTCTACACTATAAAATTTATGTGACAAAAAATGTGATGTGCCCATATATGGGCACGATGATGTCATAACACATGCTTTCAAATTGTATCAAAAAAAGTTTTTTTAAGATGCTGTCTATCAAATTTTTTAGAAAACACATTTTGACCAATAAGCAAACACTACAAATCACACCAACCAGTTTCATCAAAATACACCACATTTTTCGAGGCAGTTTGATATATCTTGATGATATTGTTCCATCACATTTTATGTGACGCTTTTTTGATGAAATCTGATAGTGTAGACAGCGCTTCAGAAATTTAGGACACAAAGAGTTAAAACCTATCCGAGATAAACATATACTTGGATTCGGTGACTAATTGTTCGGTGACTAATTAAAAAATAAAATGTTTGGTAGGTATTAGTGAGTAAACATTTTGGAATCAAAATAATTGAATCAAATATAATAATAGGAAACAGCTGGCACTTACTTATTGAATTGAGAATAAATATTTGCTAACTTTATGGATAATTCAATAACAGCATTTCCTGTTTTATCTACACCGTTTGCTATAAGGTTCTTTATAGTGTCTTTGATAAGCTTTTCAGCCTTTTCATCCTGATGACGCCTCAGAGCTAGATTGGCCATCTGAAGAAAACAATACAACACAGCATTTCATGTGAGTTATAAATTTACAGTACAATTAATTGATCCATGTTGACATGTAAGGTTTAAAGGGAATTTACTTCCAATCTACAATTCCAAGTTGTCAATCTGTCAAAACTATTTGACCAATCAAATTTGCACTGTTTAGTATGCATGTCTAGGGAATACATGTACAACAAACAAGTCTAGCTAGTTGGATACTGCTGTGTGTGCAAAAAAATTAATTAGCTTATAATCTGTTTGGTAGATACATGGGGTTAGTGAGAAGGAGATCACATGAATACAAATCTTTTTGACGCGACAAACGATGAAGGATTTGGAGGATTTCCTCCATGGACAAACAAAATGTGCTCCCCTCCTTTTTTTAACTCCACCCTATTCCTGAATGTATAAACACACACACACAACAACACTGACAAACTATACAAGTAGCAAAATTGTTCTGTTAAAATTAATCGGGAAAAAAAATACAATAATTTTTTTAATACAAGTTTGAAGGGTAAAAAGAGTATGAAAAGGCTTTTAGGAACCTTTCGAAGCTTTCTCCAGATTATAAAATGTTAAAAAAAAAACAAAAAAACAAAAAACAAAACAAAAAATAAAAAAAACTGTAGTATGCCCTTATAGTCATGATGTACCTATATATGGTCATAGTGTAACTTGGCATCATGACTATATTTAGGCATGTCAAAATGTGATAGTCAGGATTTAGAGCAAAATAAGCATTGCATTGGATTGGATTTATTAGGTGGGAACACCAAGGATAGCCCACGAAAGTCTAGAAGAAGACTTATTTCCAGTGGGGTCCTTCTGGTGGTGATTGGGCAGACAACGGGAGACAATCCCTCTTTTCCGAAGAGTGTACTGCGTTCTTTAACGTGCACATGGACCATTAATGCACACCGGACCAACGGCTTAAACGTCTCATACAAAAGACAGTGTGATATTGTAACTTGTATTTCAGCTGAAACACAAGGAGAGACAGCAATGGGAATTGAACCGGGGACCTAGAGATCTCCATGGTTCAGCGCAAACACAGTGGCTACCACCAGATTAGTCGACTGAGCTTAAAGCTGCTTTTTCAAAAGCATGTAGAATACAAACCTGATCTAATGTGAAGGTAAAAGCTTCCTGGTCATCTGTCTCCTGAGCAAGTTGAAGAGCATCATGAAACAATGCTTCAGCCTCTTCAGCATTGTTTCGTCTCTCAGCAACCTACAAAAAATACAAAGCAATTATTAATGAAAAGAATTTGTGGCAAAATCAAGCCAAACTAGTCATTGAAAATTGTGTTTTGGAGTTAATAGCCAAATCATGTTGGAATGTTGACATTTTATAAATCTATTTTAATTATTTCAATAAACTAAACTTTATATATCTATGCATATCATGCTATGTTGTTAGTTTTCCCATTTTCAATGTTAAAGCCCCATTCCCGACAAAATTTCACTGAAAAAAAGAATTTTGTAGAAAAAATGTAGATGCAGTACTCTAATAATTATAAACCACGGAAAAATATTGGCATAAATTTTAGTTTTACTCAAAAGAAGAAAAATGAGAAATACAGACTATTTCTCATAGGAGATTATCATTTTCTCGACGAATTCTTCATTACTAGGCAAATTCAGAAGTTGCAGATCGAATCCACTGAAATACTCTCACTGTTATGTATAAATGTAACTCAATAAAGTGCGCCCTCTCTAATGAGATCAGTTTTTGTACTTTGCATTTCGCACACTGTGATCGATTGAATAGGCCTGAGATATGTTTGTTTAATTTCCAAAATCTCGGTCAGAATTATTTTTTTAACCAATTTGAAATAAGCAACGGAAAATATCATGTCGGCCGTTTTTATGTGTGATAACAGAACCTAAATCGAGGTAAGGCTTGGCCTAGCCTAACAGTATTGGATAGAGTAATGTTTCCCGCGCCTAATATATTTCTTTACAGACCTATCGCAAAATCAAACATAAAAAATTCATCCGCATTTATTTTTTGTGTGGAACACACAAAAAAAAAAATTAAATTTCAGTCTTATTTTACATTTTTTTCATGTTTAGGGATGTCTAAATTTAGTTAAACTAGCAATTTAGTATTATATTTATAAACCTTTATAACATATATAAAAAACCAGATTTTTCTTAAAAAATGAAATTTTGCCGGGAATGGGGCTTTTAAACAACAATTTAATATAATTTTTGGAGATCGCCTTTGCCTGAAAAATGTCCGAAATAATAGACTTTAAAGGTTGATTTCTCAAATACAGCGATATGTTTAAATTCCTGTACCTTAGTAAAACAAAATGTCAGATGTACTGTAAATGATTCCTTTCCCATTTTTAACTTTTTTACTGATTAATCCCGTATTAATTTTAACTAAAATAAATTGTTTTTGCAAGGCGTGACTGGTTCGGCCTGTCTTTCCCACATTTAAGAAATGGATATTATTCCAGCTTGCCTTACTCTCTGCATTAAAATAGCAAGACTGAATTTTTCAGGTTATGGGTCAAGCCACCTCTACCAAGCAACCTCTCTGTGGCAGTCAGAGTGCAGTGCACCAGTACTAACACATAACTTGACTCCCACCCAACTCATATACTTTGGTAATTTGAGGAATCCAAACAAAAAACTGATGCCATCCAGATTTGAACTAGGTCTTCAACAAACAATCTAGACACGTGACCTCTAAGCTCCAAGTTACTTAATTATTCAGGTATTAAGTATCTTTCTACAGGATACAATTGATAATTGACATGCATGAGTGATACATTTTGATGAGCAACTCAAACAAATTTTCATGACACCGAGCCATTTGCATTTTTGAAATATCTATATATTTTATTCGAATGTTTTTTTTTAATACTTTAAATGTATTCAGTCATCTTTTTTAATGCATTAATCCATTTTCAGTTGAATTACATGATTGAATGTAGGCCTACTGTATTTGACACTTACTAAGGCTTTTGAAATCAACCCAGATACGGTAATCTTTGATTCATCTCGACTCCACTTATATATGGCAATTGCTCCTAATGCTACTAATCCACCTGAAATAATAATAATAAACATTAAATTGCAAATGTTATGGCAAATGCAGTAATTTCAATTCTTCCTATCTAGTATTAGTTTCACAAAAATTTCTTATGTACTTTGCTGTTCTCTCAATGCAGTGTAGTAATAGGATGGTTAAATGCTTTAAATTTATATAATTATGAAGAAATATACTGTACATACAGTACAGGTACCTATCTTTTTTTTGGAGATTTCAAGGCAGCGACAGGCGTAATAAAAATAACGAAAAAAATCCTATTTTCTTTCTGAAATTTCCATTTTTTGTGGCAGCAGTCCCACTAATTGGCTAAAAATAAAATTTTATTATTTTTTAAAATCATCATTATATTGGCAGGCGGCAGGTTCACTAAAACAAGGTATAAAAAATGTCTTGCCTTACTACTACAATTTTGTGTGGAATTCTATTTTTATTTTATAATTACAGAGGGCCAGAGGAAGAATAGTCAGGCTTATTTAAATAGTTAAAATCCATTTTGTGTAGTCAAAAGTAAAATGAATGACTGAAAAAACTGTCTAGACAATACGTATTGCATTTTAGTTCATTCATTCATTTTGATAGAGCCGAAGAACCTTGCCAATGGCAATAAAATAAAAAAAATGAGAATGAAAAAAAAAAAGAAACCAAAAAACTGAGTGTCTAGGCCTAGACACATCATAGGAGTTCTCTGTACAAAGAATAGTGATCTCACATTTCTTCTGAATAGGGTCCTATGCAGAAGAAATGCCTATTTGTCATTAATTAACAAGAACATATCAATTAATCTAGTAGGCCTAGGCCTAGCTAGTAGTGCTACCAAAGAATGTTGATATACCTGTAATAATAAACAATGTGTTATCATCTCCTGTTTTCGTTTTCGGCTCTTCAAAAACTTTTTGTTGAGGATTTTCGTTGCTTGGCCCAAACAACTTTTCTCGCTCCCTTAGCCTAGGCCTATCGTGCCGGGAGGAATACTTTTGACACTGACTGAAGTTCCCACAGCTAAATCTAGGCCTAGGCCTAGCGAAATTTCTTGATTTAACTAGATTACATGATGCATAGATTGAAACAGGAAACACCGATGCATGCCTATAACACATGTGTCTACATACATTTAATCTAAATATACTTTGCGGTAACGTTATCACATGTAATGATTTCGATAAAAAACCTATTCTATGAACTACCAACATTTTCATCATGGGCGCAGCCATTTTGTTTCTGCTAATTTGAGTAACTTGTTGTGATTGGTTGGTTGTAGTTCGACCTTGTTGTTGAACTCACACAACATGTACAGTACGAATTATGGCGATACACGATTTCCTACAAGGGCGAGTTAGACTCGAAGTTGTCGTTGTGTTTGTGCTGTGATTCAATTTTGTTTAGGAAATGTAAGTTAAATAGCACAGACTTGCACAATTACTTTGTTCTACGTATATACTATATATTTATTAATTTAATAGACTAACAGGTTTGAAATTGCCAGATGCTGATGCAGCAGATTTTTGGACTTGGAGCTAGGCCAAGCAGCAGGGAAAGGTTGATGTCTGATGAGGTCAATAAACCTCTCCTTCGTCAGTTCGAGAAAACCCATGAGTGCTACTATCAACATACGAGAGGCCTAGCATATAAATGAACTTATCTATAAGGGCATTAAAGCAAACTTGCCCGAATTAATTCATATTAAATATATAGCACCAAACCCAACTTGCTAACACTCATAAAATTATAATTTTGATACCAGATAATTTTATTATCAGGCCAGTCAACAAACAAAACAAGCGTGCAATAAATTCTGACAGTCACAGAAAACAGAGTAAGGCTGTGTGGGGAATATATCCTCCGAGCAAAAAATAAGGGCCGATTTCTGCACAGATTTTACCAAAAATTAGGTTTTGACCTAATTTTTATAACCAATGTTTATGAAATTATGGCTGTGAGTAGTTACTGTACAACCCCAGTTTTTCGATCATAATTTGCTATTTTATTTTAAAAGCCTTGATCGTCTAAAGATAAATTTACACTAGGCCTAGACACGATAACAATAACGACACGATAAACATACACTCAATGTTGAAGAATATAAATGATGCAATGATATGTCGTCGTGTTGTTATCGTGTTTAGTGTAAACGTAGCTTTATATGTGACAATATATGGTAATTATTAATAAGATTGGCAGTACTTTGAATGGGATACCATGGTTATCCCTAGAAAAGCCAAATAATGGCTGAAAAACTTCCCTGGGATTTTGGTGTTTGGTGCCATAGAGCAAAAAGAAATGAGGTGGAAGGGATCAATAATTATTGATTTTTAAAGATTATTTTGATAAAAATTACTTTGAAAATAATATTCTTTTAAACTTTTTTTTTTTTTCTTTTTGAATAACTTGGTGGTTAAGATGCATAACTTCCAATCCCATGATGCTGGGTTTCATATGCTGTCAGATTCCAGGATTTTTCTCACGACAAAACAACTCCACTCCATAAGCCTCGTTCTAAGTCTTGCTCAATATGTAAAGCATCATGTGTATATGTTTGTCGTGTAAAGAGATTGCCACCTATGTAGGACAGTGATTAAGTTGATTGGTAATCCTTGGCCTTGTGCCTAAAGGTATAAAGTTTTAATTTTTTATTGTAGGCCCACCTGTACCTTAATATTTCATCCACAAAATCTAAATCCTTTCAGTTATTATTTATTATTTCATCCAAAGTATTCCTAATTTTCTTTGTCTAAATGGCAGATTTACCAGCTCCCTGATGGATGTGGCTAGGTCCAAGAGTGAATTACTCCAGCAACAGGTCATGCAGGCCTGGAGGGAGAGATGGTCAGATGTCCAGTGGAGTACAGAGATAAAGAAAATAGTCCCCCGTGGAATGTCTGGAGATGCATTCAGTCTTGCAGAAATTCTCTTGAATCAAATTTTTGTTGGGCCTACGCCAAATTCATTGATATTGACTTACCTTGAGCATGCAATATCATGTCAGGTACAGTAGAATAATTGATTTTTATTGTCTGATTAATTTTAAGAATAATAACTTTATTGTCTCTCATTTAAAACGGAGGCTTCACTCCTACTGAGAGTGTTCAATAGAAAAATAACAGTGCATTTGAAATCATAATACGTGTAGATGATAAGTTTGAGTCATCTTGTTCTGGAGATTTATCAGCTGTTTTTAGTCGGCTATCTGCACTTTCTTATTTATTTTCCACTTCTGTTTGTAAGACACTTGGGTGCTTGCTACTCCCTTGTTGCTGACCCCTTTTCTTGAATTTGAATTCCACTAATAGTTCTGTCCTGCAATACTTACTGTAGGTTTATTGAATAAAATCATAATGTAAGACATATTGTATGTAATAAATATTCATTAATAACAAAGTAACAAAATTGAGGATCATTAAAAAATGCTTAATAAAATTGTGAATACTGTAATATGTGATCTTGTGTTCAATAAATTATTTTCAACTTAGTTCTGTCCTGCAATACTTTATGTTTATTGAATACAATCAGAATACTAATAAATTTTATATTTAATAAAAATTCATTAATAACAAAGGAACAAAATTGAGGATCATTATAAGCCACTTTATCAACTTGCGAATTCAATATGTGAACCATGTTTTCTATAAATTATTATTATCAGATAGTCTCCTGTACAGCCATCTTCAACAGTATAATAACTTATGAGGACATCTGTATTCAGAGGCCATACTGTATGAAAGGTCTGCTTGATATTCTATTCATCTGTGTTAGTAAACTTGGGTAAGTCCAACCAAATATACACAATCTAATGGCCAAGAAAAATACCAAAATCACTTTTTTTGAATATGTAAATAATTATTTGCATATGAATGGAAATGGAATGGAAGTTTAATGTTAATTAATGTGATTATTTTATATAATGTGTAAGCTGTTTTGTATTTTTCTTATAATTTTATTATATATTTGTTATTATATTATTAAAGTCAGGCTCTGGAGGAAAAAAAATTTTTGATATGTTGTAGAACTGATTTTTCTAAAACAGAAAAAATTTGTTTGACGAAAAACTGGGGAACGGTGAATGAGATACAGATTTTTTAATATTTAAAAACTGAGGGAAAAAGGGGCGTAACTGCCCATTTTTACACCTTATTCCCCCAGTTTTAATAGCAATATTTTATTTTTTTTTAGGATTTTGAGAAAAATTTCCCGCTTTTTTTAGAGTATAAATCATATTTAAAATTTTCTTGTTTTTTGTTAATCTCAGTGGTCATACGATGGATGAAGGCATGTATCTTGCAAAGTCATATTTAAGAGTTGTTCTATGGCTTCTGGACAGCATCACTGCATGCGTTGAGAAAATCAAAGACACTACTACTAAAGTTGATGTGATGATGACGCATATGCTAGACATTCTTATCGACCGGTTCCACAAAATGGTCTGTATGACAGGCGTGTCTCGTCTCCTGCTCTTCATAGGGAAATCTGAAGATGAGGGTTAGTTGATTATTTGCGTATGTTGTAATCAGTTTTCTTATTTTTGAAGCATCTGGAGGATGCATAGATATAATAATAATTATCAAAAGCATTTGGCGCAGCACTTGTGGCTTGGGCACTCAACCTAGATCGGCCATTCTGTGGCAAAACAACGTAACTTGAACTTTGCAATAAGTTGTCATAAGCCCCTCTCCCACCTAGGTTTATTTCACCTAAGAGTCGTACGATTTCTACGAGTTAAAACTCGTGATCTTTAGAAAGGACCTTATACGAGCTTATTACGTGATAGCTACGAGTGAGGTACGACTTTATGGAGTTGGTTACGAGTTATGTACGAATTATGCCGAGCAGAGCGCCGAGTTAACTACGAGATTATTACGAGCGTAACAAGTTTGTACCGAATTAGATACTCGTTTTTGGGTGCTCGCATCAAACTCGTAGATGACAAAACCGCCGACGAGTATCCAGAGTAGTGTACGAGCTATGTAAGAGTACCCCGAATACTCTACGAGCTACCTAAGAGTTCTTCGAGTTTACTACGTGTTATCTACTCGTGGCGATAATTTTGAACGTGTTCAAAATTAGCGCCACGAGTTCAGAGCTGCTACGAGTAGATAAGAGTCCTCTCCGAGCTTTCCGAATTGTCCTACGAGTTTTTGCCGAGTTTGCCGAGTTAGCAACTCGGCATTCTCTTGTAACTCGTATACTGAAAAAAACCCTAGTGGGAGAGGGGCTTTACCCTTTTGAAATTTTGCAGGTTTGTATATCTATAGACATTGTGATTATATGTGAAATTTTAATTACAATGATTTGTTTTGCAAAGTTATTAGCAATAATTACAGATACTTTGTTTTGCCTCAGAAAGATATCATTCTCGGTATTGATGCAAGTAAGACATATTTTTGGAATTTAACACGTTTGGGGCAATCATATGCTTGTTCATACGTCGCTGTTAAGAAAGAATATTGATATATAAACACCAATAACCATTTGATTTTTCCTTGCTAAACTCCATTAACTCAAGACAATTTTTGAATACCATTCCGAGGCAAAACAACGTATCTTCATCGTAGATATGTTGTTTTGCCCCGTAATCTTGTAGTTACGTTGTTTTGCCGCTGAAAACCACTAGAGTTTTGTGCTTAAAGATAGGTGGTGCTATCTCTGAAACGGCGCATTATTGAGACCTGAAATTTTCACAGGTAATTCAGACGTGTTTATATATTCTCAAATTGTATTATCTCAAAATCGACAAAAATGTCAGTTACGTTGTTTTGCCTCGGGACGGCCGAGATGTTGGCAGCTCGAACCCCTCAATATCCATTTAGCTTTGGTTATTATGCAAGGTACTTGACCTAATGGTTGTCTATTCCTCCTGGAGTAAAATTGCACTTGGTGACTTCGAATACAGACAATTGAATGCACTGATAGAAATTGCGGCAATTTGATTTTATTTTAGATTTGAGAAGGAATGGCATAAATACAAAGGTCATCAATTGCCTAAAGCCCTGTCAAGACTGTCACATTTTATTTGACAAAAGCATGTGTCATGCCTATATATGGTCATGAGAACATCACATCATGACCATATATAGGCACATCATGACTACTGTATATATAGGCATACAACAGTTTTTTATCAAAGAAAATTTGATAATCTGGACAATGCATACAGTATATTCCTTTTATGTGCCCCACATTCTTACAATTTTAAAGTTTTTAAAGTATAAAAAGTTTTCATGTGTTGATGCAAAATAAATTAATGGTATACAGACATTATTATCACAGTCAGCATTTCTGTTCCTTTCTGACATTGACAGAAGCATGGAGAACTGTTCAAGAAGCTGTGATGAGAGTGAAAGAAAGTTTAACTGTTTCCGAGCCTGAAAGTGGCCAACCAACACCAGTATTCATGAAAAAAGAGCTCAAAGAAAAAGTTTTAAGATCAATGCAAGACGTCTTAAAGTAAGCAAAATGTGAGCGATGAGTATACTCGTCAAAATCGGGGTAGTGTTCTAGCGTTTATATTTTCTTTGTTATACATTGTAGCACAGACTCAACGGCTGGTAGTTCGCGGAAGATACACCTAAATGATAAGGTACAAATGACGTATGTATGCTTGTTGTGTTACGTTGCCGATAGTACACTGGAGCAGCACAAGTGGGGGCACCCTTTGAACATATACCAACCCATGCAAAAAGTGGACAAGATAACTCAAACTTGGCATAGTCAATAAGAAGTACTATAAGTGCCGTCGATGAGTTTATTCGTCCCCAAATATTTTCTTGCCAATTTTTTAGACACATCATTTTGATGTTATATGACTAGATAAAATTTCAAAATGTTTGTACATGTAAACTTATTTTGGCAAACAGGAAGGAACCTTAAAAAAATGTCTGGCAGTCAATGCAAAATGAGTTTTTTTACCAAACATGAAAGCAAGTTACTGATGACCATAAAAGCATTTTTTTGGCCCTTGAATTAAGTTCCTAGGTTGAGTGCAGTTAATAGAGCAGATTAGCTCAATCGTTTACACCGGTAGCCGCCACTGTTTGTGCGCTTAACCATAGCGATCTATTGGTCCCCGGTTCAATACCCTTCGCTGCTCTCCTTGTATTTCAGCTGGAGAGCTGAAATGCAAGTTACAATAGTGTAGCTGCCTTTTGGATAAGACATTAAGTTCTTGGTCCCATGTGCATTATAACCCACGTGCACATTAAAGAACGCAAGTACACTCTTCGGAAAAGTGTAGGGGATCAGTGTACTGCCGAATCACCACCAGGAAGACCCTACTGGAAATGAGCCTTCTTCAGACTGTCTTGGGGTATCTTTGGTGTTCCATCCATCCATACAACCATCTTGAAATTCGGATATCTGAAGCATGTTTCAAAGAAAATTGCCTTTAAGAGAGATGATCAATGCATTTTTTTTTATTGGTTTTCCTATTGATTCTAAAAAACAGCTTTACAAAATTATCGTTAAAAACACATGAATCAACTCAGAACATAAGACAAAAATTAAAGTACACCACCAAAAAGTGTGCGGTAGGAGGTCAAATAAGTATCTAAACAAATTTTAAGACATGACCACCAATAATAAATACTAATAATATAATAAATAAATAATAATAAATAATAATAATAATAATAGTAGTAGTAGTAAAAGTGATACTGTACTGTACTACAGCCGTCGCATGTATCCGGTGTCCCAGTCCAAATTTATCCTTTTACTCACTCAGTTCAGGTACTATTGCTTAAACAAGAGCTCAAACAGTATTTTAATGTTTAACATGCTAGACACGCATCGCCGTCCATAATGAACACCATTAACAAACACTCGCTGTTTCCTACCTTTTAAAAATTCCTCAATCCTATTAAGTAGGTTGCCAGATAATCTATAAGACTTTAATTTTACAATAATGTGAAGAGACTTAAGGCTCTTAATTTACCAACTTTGGTTGTTTAGGAAAAAACGAGTAGATGTCATTCAGACTTTTAAAATTTTTCATGGTATCGATCTGTTGGAGCCTGAACGTTTGTTTACAGGATAAGATTATCCCATAACTAGAGGCCATGCATACAAGTTGTACAAAATTATAAACTTGTTTGTAATTTGAGTTACCAATGATTGGAACTGCCTTCCTAGTGACGTGGTAAATCAGAGTTTGGTAAATTGTTTCAAAGCAGGCTTAGAGAAAGTCTGGTCGGGCCACCAGAGCAGACTTACAGTCTTACAGACTTTCGTATATACATGTAACAGAAGAGTATTCAATAATGGTAGAGGGACAAATGAGCATTGATCTAGTTCTCGAAGATTCATGGTAAATTCAAGGTAAATTTAACTATACCTTAACCATAATTTGATATGCTCAACATTATATTTTCTCTTCATTTTCTCATATACAGGATTCCTTACATACAAATACCTGTAACACAGCACACAAACTCAATTGTTGTGAAAGGAACAAGCTGTATTATCAACATGATAACTTTTCTGGAAGCTGCAATAAATATCACAAATGATGTCCAGTGTTTTGTTGATCAAATTCTTTTGATAGAAAAGGTTCAAGTAAGTTTTACAAGGTGCACAGTACATTTAATACAATATTTTTAAAAATTTATTTAGCCATATAAGACAAATATTTTCAATAGCGAACTTAATCACTGTCTAAGTAAAAATTTCTTTTCAATAAAAAACTTCATGCATGATGCTCTATAAAACATATAAAAGTTTTGTTATGAGGCTTATACCCTATTCAGTCTACACTCTGTTGTGATGTAATCAGTGGTAATCCAAAACTGATTACTCCCGATCGCAATTAACAAACGCATTCAGACCAACACAAACTTTACATTTTAGGGCCAGGCCTCCAATGGCTAGGCCTATGTTGACTGACCTCAGGCAACAGTGCCTTTGAAATTCGTTGTGATTTGTTGCGATCGGATTCCGTGGTAATCGGGAGTAATAAAGATTGTAGCACCCAATCGCAATGGGTAACAATTGCAATATCGATTACATAAATAAAATTGGTGAGCTTTTACACACGATTTTACTTTGCGATTGGGTGAAGTTGGGTGTCGCAATTGCTACAACTGATCGCAATGCGATGCTAGTCTGAATGGGGTATTAGAGAGTTTTGGTTGTGAGAATAAATCCTGTAATAATGACAGGATTTGAACCCAGCATCCTGAAATTGAAGGTAAGCATCTTAACCACTAAGCTACAGCTCCACTTTGAAGTTAAGATGGTCTTTGGGTCAATCTTGCCTACGTATTTAAAAACAACCCCACTACCTAAAGACTCATGAAGAGACTTATATAGCATTGAGGTTTCAAAATGATCAGCTCTGATAGCCTTGGTTAGTAGAGCATTGATGGTTTTAATAGATCATGAAACATCATTTGGTTTCTAATAGTCTATCAACAAGTTCCTTTAAGTGTTTCTGCATTTGAAGTAAATTCTTAAAATACTATTTGTTTGTAAATAAGTCTTTGTTAATTACTTTAAAAATTGCAGATATATATATATATATAATTTGATACTAACAATGACTCTCTGATTATTTAATTAACTCTGAGTAAAACTCTAATAAACCAACAGCAACTTTGATCAATGTTATAACAACATTAAAACTCTCAATAAAACAATAGTGTAATAATATAAAACAGGTTGTTCAGTATCTATATTAAAATATAGAAGAACATTCTGAAATTGAACTTAAACATTTGCTTACTCAAAAAATTGAAATGTTTTTTATTAACCCCAAAAAATACATACATCAAAACAGTTTAGTTTTCACTGATTTTAGGCTCTTCTTTTTACAAAAATTGAAGTTGCCAGCAAATTTTAAAATTGTTTAATTGTTTTATTGAAACTGGGTATTTTACTTTTACTTTATTAACTAAGCATACAACTACACTAAATTTAAGTATTGAATTTTATTGTTCGGGCTTATTAGCTCAATACACTTTTAAACTAATTTGCAGTTTTAATATTTAATGCTATTTTTCTATTTATTTAGCATATTCAACGACACACACTAGTGAAGGAGCTGTGTCATTCAGCCCTCCTAGGCCTAGTTGATCACATTGACAGTGTGGATGAACTCAAGTGGCATGCATTTGCTTTTGTGAAGGTAGTTGATATATAATTTAAATCACACAAATCAGAAGTGATGTTGTTGGTATATGAGTGTAATACTTAATACATGTATGAACAGATATAAGCCAAATTTAGGCATGTCAAGCTTTTGGCTGGCCCAGGCTCCCTGCAAACAGATGATTTTCCTGGGAAGACGTAAAGGCAACCATGGAAAAGTGCACAATGATCGCTCAAGAAGCTAAACTTCACAGAGACACAAAGCATGTGGTTTTCCCCCCCTTAGGAATACAATCTCTTCATATGTAAGCTGTACACATACTGACAACATAAGGAAAATTGACACTGGCTGTACCATTGATGCGTTATATACGCCTTAGTTTGAATATCCCATCATTTTCTTGCTTATAACTGTTCATCCTGGCAAGTATTCATTAAATAGACATTGTACACTGATTCTTATTTTAAAGTCATTTGAGTTATCAATATAACAGCAAATATTTATTAAAAAATAAACATTAGCTAACTAAAAGACTGTACAGTATCTCAAAATATTGTTTAGTTTTATTAAAATATTTTTGTTAAATATTACAGCATATCAAGTTCAGTTTTCAAGTAGATCTGACTAATGTACAAAATAATGTGAAATTTCCACATCAACATTTTCATTTTCTCTTTTTTTGTCACTTTTAATGACATCTATGTTGTCATTTTCTTTGATGCATTTGTTATCTCCCTTATTTGGATGATCTTCCTTTGGTAGATGTTTGCATTTTCTACACAAAGCAGTTTTTAGTATGATCTTCTGTATCCTCAATTGTGTATTAAATATATTTGTGTCTGAAGTGATCTGTGTGATGTCAGAAGTGCCCTGGACACGAATGGCAAATATCTCCTGGAATTTTCACTTCATTTTGCTGATAATTATCATGTTTTTTCTGGAGTATACACATACAAGTACAGCAAACAGAAGTATTATTGTTAATACAACCAGTATCATTATTGTTAATATCAAGTGATAGCTACCCTCTTTGTCATTGTCATTGCATAATATGCTTGATTTTCCTTTTGATGTTGTTATGGATGTTGGCATGACATCTTTGATGGTGAACTCAATCGAATCAAACATTTTCTGAGCATGAGTACTCACCATACATTTGATAGTGTAATTGTCCGCTGGTAAATTGTTGAAGCACCTTTCATTGTCATGGCTGTCATTGCAATTGATCAAATGCTTTTCATTTAATGTCCAGTTGTAAACTCTTGTACCAGATCCACCTTTAGCATGACAGATGAAGCAATAATGTTTACCACCAGGTGTTTCGTATAAAGTATGAATTTTTACATTTAATTTAGATTGAACTTTCAAAGTTAATATTTTGCATATATTGAAAATGTTTGTATTTTCAATTGAAAAACAGTAGAACAGTACACCATCTCCCAAATAAAATCCTATTAAAGTTTGCTCAAGTGATAAGTTTTTTTTCAAAGCATGTGACACTGAAATGTTATGTCCTACCTGGATCCATCCAATTGTAACATCTTTTGTTACAACATTTGTCAAGATTTCCTGCACTTTACATTTGATTTTTACTTCATCTCCTTCTATGATATCTGTTAAACCTTCACAGATATCTTCATTTTTTATTTCTCTAGCCCCATTAAGTGTGACTTCAGGAGGAAAAACCAGATAATGTTCATTGCCATCATCTCTGCATATGTATATTCCCACATCTTGTTTACCAAGTGATATGAACAGTTGACACTTGACTCTAACCGAGTTATATTTAGAAGGGTAATCTTTGTAGACGTGGTACTTCTGAACATCTTGTTGAAGGTCATTAGGGTCATCGATGGAATACCTTTCTCCAGTCCATACCACCTTGTACTCTTTACGTGTTTGTTTAATTTTCACAGGATGTTCCAAGTTTGAACCACTTTCATTATAAGCCAACTCAATAAAACCTCCAGCAATATGGCCAACAACCAGCAAACTTATCACCACTACAAGGATGAGATTAAGGAGTGGCATAGTCTTCTTTTAGTCCTGAAATGATTTTAATAATCCAACTTCTATAGATTTTAGTGATTGTACAGTAGTTTAAGTACTGATATGTGCTGTTGTTGATGGATAATTAAAGGAAACAGAGAACACCCTTTGTTTTTTAACAATTTTTACTGACTTTCAGTTTTGTTTGGTACTGATGTATAAGATTTGTATCTATACACTTTATAATATTTGGCTTTTACTCTTTAGTGTTGATTTAAGTTATCAAATACTACAACAGTATCATCATGTTTGTCAATTTTTTTAAACAATATTCCATGTTCCACTTTACATTTCAAAGTAATCATTTCAGCGATTCCTGGCTAAATTGTAATAATATGATAAAAATTAGTACTTCTGATTAGTTTAATTTTTTTATTTTATTTATTAGGACAAATATTATTGGGAAAGAAACTTACCATGAAAAAGACTGATTAATGTTTCAATATAAAATTTATTTTAGTAAACTTTTTCTGTTTAAATATTGCAGTGTAAGTTTGAGGCAGATTTGGTAAGTTTCTGCACCTGTATACCTCTTTTTCTCATTCATGTTCGCTAGGACTGGAGTGGCTTCCAGTGTTGTCTACCATATCCTCAATTGTATATCTCCTTATCTGCAGGCATATTTGACTGAAGTGTAATGTAACATTCAACAATATATTATATATTTTTCTACATTTGTCAACTTAATTGAAACTTATGTTGTAATTATCATTCCATTCTTCCTCTCCATTAAATTCATTGGTCTTCCTTTGGTAGGTTTCTGCACCCGTGTACCTCCACTTCTTAGTCACAGTGTCGCTAGATGGATTGGCTTCCAGTATTATCTGCCATATCCTCAATTGTATATAATATATCTCCTTATCTGGTGCACTGGTCTGTGGAATGTCAGAAGTGCTACAAACACTCATGTCAACATCTGCTGGATTATGCACTGCAGTTTGCCGATGTTTACCATGTTTTCTGTTAAGTAGGTAAAGCAAAACAAGTACAACACCTGGCCATACACTGTAGTGGTAATATTACAAATACAGTATAATAGTACTTCTAATTTGTTTAATTTTTTTCATTTATTCATTAAGACAAATAGTCTCGGGCAAACCAAATCTAACTGATGCTATACAACATTTTACTCCCTTTAGTAATATGTAAACTATAAATATACACTAATAAAATATAAAAAGAAATAATATTTTAATAAAATTGTTTCTCTTTTAATCCTTTTAGTGACAGGAACAGATGATATTGATGGTAATAGATACAGGTTATTGCTTTTAGCCAACATGGCCAATACACTTTTCTTACTCTGCCTCTCCCTATTGCCATGAACTCCTTCCCTTTGTTAAAGATTTGACTACTTTAAATTCATTGAAAGTTAATTTAAAACATGGTTTCTCTGGGGGTAAACTGTGCCTTTGATCATTTTTTAAATTGGCATATTATATTGATTATTATTAGTGTTATGTTTCATCTGTGAGGATACTCTTGATGATGATACTTTAATATTTGATAAATGTATTTTGCAGAGATCTAAAGTAATGAACAGGAAAAATGTTTAAACAAAGCATATTTATAACTGAATATTATGTCAAATATTATTAGGTTTTAGTAAAACGCTCCTGTTAAAATATTGCAGTTTTTTACAGTTTAGTTTTTAGGCGAATTTGGCTCTAGTACAAAATATTGTGGAACTTCCTCATCAAAATTATTATCTTCTTGGCATTTATCACATTTAATGACATCTATGTTGTCATTTTCATTCCATTTGTTATTTCTGTTATTTGCATTGATGGGTAGGTAGACTGTCTCTTATACACATCTAGATGTGTATAAGAGGACAGTTACACTTCAGTCAAATATTGTTAGAGATATGTATTTTAATAAATCATGTGATTGTGTAATATATTGTCCTCCCTGGATCCATCCAACTGTAACAACTTGTTTGATGGCATTTTTCCAGAATGGCTGCACCTTGCATCCAATTTTAAGTTCATTTCCCTGTATTTTATCTGTCAAACCTTTACAGATAACTTCATTTTTTATTTCTCTAGCCCCATTCAGTGTGACTTCAGGAGGAGAAACCAGATAATGTTCATTGTCATCATCTGTGCATATGTATATTCCCACATCTTGTTGTATACTGAAAGATATGCACAGTTGACAATTGATTCTAACTGAGTTCTTTTTAGAAACATATTCTTTGTAGATGTGGTACTTCTGAACATCTTGTTGAAGCTTATTAGGTTTATCGATGGAATACCTTCCTGCAATCCACACCACCTTGTACTTTTTACTTGATTGTTCAATTTTCACAGGATTTTGCCGGTTTGGGCCACTTCTATTATAAGCCATCTCAACGAAACTTGTAGCAATAACATGGCTGACAAATAGAAAACTAATCACCAGTACAAGGATGAGACTAAGGAATGACAAAGCCATCTTGTCTTTGCCTACACTTCTCTGAATTCTGGAAATAATTTAGTAATCCAACTGAAGTACTAATATGCACTGTTGTTGATGGATGGTAGATGCAAACAGAAAGCCCTTTATTTTTTTCTTAGATTTTTCTAAACTTTCAGTTTTTGTTGTATTAACTGAATATGTATCAGTTTTGTATATGCGCATTCTATATTTTAAATAAAGCTAACAAAACTAATCAAAGGTACCTCACTACCTCACAAAAATACAATTTATATATATACACTACAATTTAAAAAATTTATATTTCAATATTTTAACAAAATTGTTTAACCGTTTTTACATAATTTTGATTTCAGCTTCCGCAAATATTTTCTTGCCTAAAATCCGGTCCTTCATTTGGTCGTGGAATCAAAGAACTGCTACGGCTGAATACTCTGTTGGATACAGCTGATTCCAAAAGCAAGTATGTTATCCTTTCACAGGTTTCTACTGTAGATCAAATAAAGATAAGGTGGATTACATTTCATTTGTAATTTCAGTTGGCATATTATTCAAGCATACAGAAATAATGATATATATGATATTTTGTTGCATTAATGGGTTCCCTCTAACTTTCATTTTTGTTTAGCCAATTGGCTAAAGCTAAAAAAGAAAATTTAGCCAATTGGATATGTTTTAATAGTCAAATTTGGCTAAAATGTTAAAAATTGTTTTAGCCACTTATCATGCCCTAATTCGAATTAATCCATGTCAAATCTCTGTCTGATAAGAGAATGGTTTCTATCCAAGTCTGACTAAACTTATGTCGGTAAGAAAATACTGTAACTCTTTTTGATGGATCACATCTTAAATAGGCCTACCAATACTAGTGTGCACTATTGATTGAATTATAATTTACATCTGAAGTGAAAATGATATATTATGTAGACTGTAAGACCATTCCAACATGGGTGGCCTAGAAGCTAACATTGATACTTTACATTAATCAGTCTTTCACAAAAACCAGCCCAAACAATGGACTTTACTATTGTGAAAGGCCCAGACTAATCACCCTTCCCACAGTCGCGCGCTTTGTGACACCCCCCCCCCCCCCTCGNCCCCCCCCCCCCTTCGCGATCGATTGTTTGTTCTCACTCAGGAGATTGAAAAATTGGCATCAGAGCTGATATGATATGGGTAAAAGTACACTCATGGAGCAAGGAATGTAGTCTAGGCCTACTTGAGAGCTGTGACATTTATTTTATGCATTCATTCAAGGAATATTTCAGTTAGGCTTACAATTTTTTAATAACTGTACTGCTTTGAAACTTACACGATCACCATCAGCATACACCGTTGGTTTAAAGTTTCACAGATCAATAAATGTGTCACAGTCGCGTTGGGAAATTAAACCGCACCTTCACCGTCGGCGACGTCACTCTAAGCTCTGTGTACTCGTTACATACGTAGATCGTGCTAATTAATACAGCAAAAAATAGTGCGGAAAGTCAATCATAACCAAGTGTCAATGTGACCCCCATGGTTCATGTTGAAAAAGTATTACACACACATTTAAATATAATCTTCATAATTGACTATAATAAAACGATAATAACTGATTAGATTTTTTAACCATCGCACATGGCCTAGCCTGGCCTGGCCATTGACATTGAAATCATACAAGCATTCAAGGAAATACCCCCAAGCTTGAAAGCCATTATTTACCCGACAGTCGGCTGCTTTAGTTCTGCTGTGTGCACTTGGGCATTTGGGGCACGCTAACAGCTAGCCGACCGTCGTGAACATAGAAATTAGTCATTACCATCCAGCCACTGATTGTTACGCTGCCCACTTTAAAATAACAAAATAATTTGCGATGCACACAGTGACATTTGTAGTCACACTAATAGAACAACACACATAAACGTCACATGGCACTGGCAATGGAGTAGCGTAAAATGGAGATCTTGGCCTTGATCGTGGCGATGGAAAAATATTTCCATGGAGAGGTCGGATGAAAGAAACAATGTATTTCAGCAAGTATTTAAAAAAAAATATTTTTATTATTTTTAAGCTTTCGCCAAAATGGCTAAAGTAGTTGTTTTTTGTTCCGCCAATTCAAAATTGTTTTTGCCCATGGCGACTTGGCGATCTGTTAGCATGAACCCAGCATTTTAATATTACATAACATTGGGGTAATGGCTGACAAGCACTTATGGTTGTTTTTCTTTTTAGTCTGAGTTGACATATTTAAAATATATGGAAATAATAAAAAAAAATGTATCATTATAGCTCAAAAAAATATGAATCTTAATGCCAGGCTACAGAGGAAAACAAATTGTTGATGTGTTATACAACTGGTTTTTCTAAGACGCAAAAAGCATATTTGATGAAAAACCTGGAAGCAGATAAGTTACAGATTTTTGAATGATATTGAAAAACTGGAGGAAAAAGGAGCATAACCTCCGGAGCTTTAAATTTTAAGACATTAACACATTAATGCCATCTTGCCCTTGTAAAATCATATTGGAAACCAGCTTAATGACCAGACCTGAGAAACAGTGACATTTTATTTTAGAGTGCACATGCTGACCAAGTTATGACTAAACATTAATGATTTTTTGTCCTGTGTTTTGTAGGTGTGATTGTTTACAACATCTCCTGAGTCAGTGTGTCAAATTGGATGTGATTAGTGAAGCACTATCAAATGAATATATTCAACAGAGGTAATTCTCTTTCTAGTTCATTTGTTGAGGACATTTGTCAAAACATAATATTTAGAAAAACAGTAAGGAATATAATTAAATTAAAACATTCAGACAACTCCCCACATCCTCTCTGCCTCCCGCCCCCCTCCCCGCAACCCAAAAAAGTGAACTAATTGACTGTTGAGTAGAGCGGAGGCCCTTTCAATAAAAAGCAATTGCGTACAATAATAATAATAATAATAATAATAATAATATTAATCAATCAATCAATCAATCAATCAATCAATCAATCAATTAATTAATAATAATAATTGCGTATATAATTTTGTGAAACAGTAGAAAAAACATTCAAAGGTAAACCAAAAATGGAGACAACAATAGCAATTGCAACATTGAAAATGAAAGTGATAATGGTTCAAGGATAGATATAAAGATATTAACTATAGTACAGATGTTTAAAAAATGAAGGTAAGCTTCAGCTTTTCTGCATTTTTTGATAATTTTTTCTAGTCTTCTACATTTACACTAAGGCGAACCCGCCGACTGCAAATATTGATAATATTATAAAATTTTATTTTTGGCCAATTAGTCCACCCGCCGCCGCGTAAAGTGGAAATTTCAGAAAAAAAATTTAACTTTTTCTTTATTTTTATTACGCCCTCTGCTGCCTTGAAATCTCAAAAGATAAGGTATGTTTCTTCCTAATTGTATAAATTTGAAGCATTTAACCATCCTATTTTACGTTCACCAATAAAATATTATTTTTATTTTCTTCTTCGTCTGAATGTTTTTGGCAAAATTATTAAAGTAAGAAATAAAATTTTATTTTGTTTTTATTCTGCCCTCCTCCGATAATCTTTAAAAAGATAAGTTTGTGAAACAAGGAATAAAGAAAGTCTTGCCTAACACAACCGTTGTAACTCAAATCGTTGAATAATGGAACTGAACAATCAACAGGAAACCAGTCACTCCTCGAAAAAAAAAAAAAATCGACTTTCAGTTATTAATACAGCGTTAAAACAGTAAGACAGCGTTAAAAAGTAAATGAGAGCAATGATAAAAGAAAGAGTTTAAACATACAGATGTTTAAAGAAAAATATTTGAGAAATCAGCCTTGAAAGTTTATGATTTCAGGCATTTCTCATGCAGAAATCATCACCAAATCATTAAAGTAGTTATTTTAACTTTGAAGAGGGGGAAAATAACAACATACCATGATGTATAGATATATAAAGGTTAGTTTAGTGCAATAAAATAGATTTAAAAAATGTTGACACTCAAGAATGATTTGGCCAATATCTCTGAAACACAATTTGCGATGAGTGACTGATTTGGCTTGTCTTTGCCACCTATAATGAACAACACAAATTTATAAGCAATCAACCAAGATAATTGCAGAAAAGCTAAGCTGACCTTAATTTTTTTTAACAATTGCACCACTTTTAGTGTTTTGTCCCAAGTAAAAGTACAAATGATAAAAATAATTAAATACTGTATAATAATTCTGTTCTGTTCATACTCACAGTTGCAAGGGAATTGAAATAAAATTGTTTTACAAATTCAATTATTAATACAATATCCTTCTTTTTTTTTTATTTATTTGTTTATTTAATGTGGGTTTTGCATTTGATTATGTTTTCAGAGCTAACCAGCGCAATGCAGTGTTACCATCAAAGAAAGAATCAAGTCCATTACCAAATGCTACACTAATCCAGCAGGCAGAAACTATGGCTACCAGTATTCTCAGTGAAAAGGTATAGTATGCTCACATGATGTTTGACTTCCATTACAGTGGATGTGGAGGTGGTGTCAAGGATAATGTTGATGACTACAATGACAAAGGTGAAGATGAAATTAATTTTGAGGAATGTGCTAATAAATAGAGGTGATTGTGAGATGGAGTAGATTTTTGTAATGGTTATGATGCAGTGATGTGATTGTGGAAATAATTATGATTGATGATTATGGTAGTAACCCAGCAATTGCAATGCACCATCTGCATATGTTCCTAAATTGTAGATAATTATGGTACCTAGTTATTGGATGCACAAAAAGGTAATATAAAACTGACCAATTTTATTCTAAACCATCTATATCTTTATCAGGGATACTTATATTTTACCATAGAGAAATGAAGTTAGTGTTTGGTCCCATCACACAAGTACTATGGCTAGCATACGGCTAACCCGTTTAACTGTGTGACATTCTTCCAGATCTTGATCTTGATTGTGGGCTCTTCACTGGCCCTATAAGGAGCATATCAAGGAAGGTTGATGGCTTGTTGTAGTAGATGTCTAGATCTAAAACTGGTTCTGAAGAGCTTTGTTCTTTTGAAACATGATTTCAGTTATGAATAATTTTTGTGGTGACATTGATGGTGATGGTGACATTGATGGTGATAGTGACAGTGACAGGTGATGGTGACAGTGACAGGTGAAGGTGTGGGGGTATTGATAGTGTTATAGTGATAGATAATGACTAATAGCCATACATTTTTCATCTGTGAGGATACTCTTGATGAAGGTACATATTTAATATTTTGCAGACCTTCAATGATCCTGATTTTTCAAAGATACAGGAGGATCTTCTTGGTGTCCTTGGTCACCTGATAGCAGGCAAGAGTTTTGATTTGATTGTTGCAGCTGAAGCAGGCACAGGCAAGCTTAAGATCTTCACAAGTAAACTTATCAGGTCTGCTCTCATAGCATTTATTTTGCTTTCATAATGATATTGGACATTATAATCATGAAAATAATAATATTATAATAACAATATTGAAAATTGTAAATAATAATTAAGTTGAACATTGGGTGAGTCTAAACGTTTTCAATATATCCTCCACAATAAAGAAAAAATCAACAAATATGTAATAATAATAGTGAGACATTGAAATACACATACTGTATATGGTAAGGCCAGAAAGTACAGTAGAACCCCTCCTTAGGACACCCCGATTTAAAAGGGTTCACTTTCGGTCACAAATTGAGTAAAAATGTATTATCTTTTAACACTATGGCCAACCCTTATATCGTCGCTCACATCACGAACTAACACAATCAAAGTAGATTGTGTTAGTTCGTGAAATCACAGTAGCGCGTCAAAACGAGCGCGTATTGGTTGTCAAGCAATTTTGTATTCTTTACCACACAAAAAGTC